CTATACTACCCAGCAAAAGTTTAGACAAAATTTAGTTTAGAACAGTTGACTGAAGTAAGTGGCTACATTTACACTAGTGAGTCTAAACTTTGGATGGGTAGTATATGTCAAGCCGACTAGATGAGAAGGTACACCATTGTGAAATCTGGGGAATGACCCTTGCAGAGATCAGCAACACAGATATAGAAACCCTTCTCCTGAGCTTCCTGGTTAAGTTACTATGTAATGTATGATATCTTGGCTTCTGCTTGGCTCAATAGACACTGATTGTCGTCTCACTCACTCACTCTAGCTTAAAGTATTACTGAAGCGTTTGTAAAATATGCTCAGGAACGTTTTTGTAAACAGTGGCTCATTATTGAACAGGAATGTTTGTTGTTGTTGTTGTTGTTTTCTTTACTTATAAATGATGCTCATGATGTTGATCACTGTATTGTCTGGTCCAGACTCGATTATTTACAGACCGCCGCCATACAGCTTGAATATTGCTGAGTGTGACGTTAAACAACCAACCAAAATAACTTTCACAAATTTCCCTAGCCCTTAGACTAGTTAATAGCTAGCTCCCTTCTCTCTGTATATTACACTAATATTTCTACGGGTCAGATATTTCTAATGGTGGTTGTTTTGAAAATGGGTTTCCGTTTTGGGGTGATAATTACCATGTATACAATTACTACCTCTTAATATACATAACAAATATATTGCCCCATTACTATATTTGTCAATGGCCGTCGTGAGGAAATACGCAATACTTTTCAGTGTGATGTACTAAACAGATCCGATATATTAACTGTTGTGTAATACATTTCATATTGTGGACGTTGGATGTACGATGGGATGTTGGGAAACATTTGCATGACTGAGACTTTCCATTGACGTAAACAGAGTAGATCATCGGTTGGGATTACTTCCCTTACACCAAGAGATGCAGGTAAGTTTTCAGCAAGTGAAAGAGAACTCCGTAAAATCATACTCTCGTACATTCTTTTATGTTCAGTATACATGTGTGACAGAGTTATAATCAGGATACATGCAGTTGATTAAGTTTTCTTTGATTGTAGGAGTCTTCGTGGTAAAAAACTGGAAAAAACTTCAAAGTACATAAACACAAAAGCACGTTGTCTGAAACTGTAGATAAAGTTTGCCCGAAAAGAATCGCCAGAATGCCCTTACCAATTTCAGCCAGTCACCATTGTCTTCTAAAGTCCATTAGTTGACTGTACGATTTTTAACCATTAGTTCAATGTTGATTGTTTTACCCGTATAGCTACCTGTTGCCTAGTTTTGTCATTCACCTGATGAAGGAGTAAGACTATGCTCCTCCGAAACGTCATGTCCTCAAAATACGAAGTTGACATCCATAAAGTCCCGCCTTTATGTGTATCGCTTTAAGTGCCGTTCAAAGACTTCATATGTTCAGTACAATCGTGGTCATAAAAGTGCACACAAACCAAGTGGTGTTTCAATGGTTCATCATGACGTTGTGCAAATAACATTGTCAGTATCACCCTTACATCCTAGATGACACCGTGTTTCTGGCATCACATGTCAAGTTGATTCAAATAACGTCACGGCACAGTGTTATAATACAGAAGGCTTGTACTCATGTATATCCATTTAACATGGGAGCGTGTATCCTACTGGTTTGGGGAAGCTGTGTGTCAGATTTCATATGCCATTATTCTGACACTCAGTTTGGTTAAACCAGTATAATACTTAGTATTACACACACACGGTCATAACTCATATAAAGACAAGAGTTTTATGGATGTCAACTACTTTACTGTGAAGGGTCACGACGTTTCGAAGTATATTCTTACTCCTTCATCAGGTGAATGAAACAATTAGGAACAAACAGCTGTATATGTACATGTTGAAACAACAACAACAGTATAACAAAGGAAGCCAGTAGTTAACTCATATATATATTATGAAACAGCTAGTTTATAAACATTCATGATAGTCATGAGACACTGCCGTGATATAACGGTTTCACGCGCAGTCACTTAATCAACATAATCTTTGACGTGATGTGACATCATGCAGTCTTGAGGACATGCATATGAATATCGTCGAAGTGTTGCACGACGCGTAGAGTAATATCACTTATTTGCACTCACGAATGCACGGAAACACTACACGGGGGTAGAACATTTGTTTCAAAACTCCACTGGATACAGGTCCAGTAAACTTTCAAAATCCACTTGACCAAATATTAATTTCACTTGACCACAATTAATAATTTGAGTTGGTAGCAATTGCATTTCTATTTCATCATCAAAATACATATATCAAAACATTCAGTAGTTTGGCACTGCTGTACCACGGTAAAGTTTAAAGTGGATATATACGTGACCGACCAGAGAATTCCACTCGACCCGGGCGTCGGGCAATGGTAGTTTGCTTCCAAAAGCAACTGTGGGTGTCCTCCCATTCTTCAGACAGCCATTCTCCAGCCTCTTGAGTAGAGGGATTAATTACCCTTACCCCACAGCAATAATGGAACAGCTGAATTAGCCTATTCAAAGCTCAGGAGAGTAGAGAGATTTTTAAACGGAGATTCAACCCTTTATTCCGTACTGAAGAGGCCACAGGCCTATAGTACATAAAACATACATTCATTTATATCGCCCGAGTAGTAACTTTTACATTTGTTCGAATATTATTATTTTTCTTTCTTTGCAATGTTGCATGGAATATGAACGTTGATAAATTCTGAAGTATTAAAATGTTTGTGCTTGTTAGTAATGATATAATTTAATAACGTTTGGATATCTATAAAAAGTATTTGGTAAATATTTTCTTCTAAGATATGAGTACAGCGGGCAGACAAGAAGGAAATGGTATTCATCCTCGACAGTATTTAAATCACACAGTTGGCATAGTCTCTCTTGTCGATTAATATTAGTATAGCGTCCAGTTTCTATAAATAAATCATGAGATGAACACGAAAACGTGATAATGCAACTGGGAATGTCTTTACTGTTATCTTAGAGAGGCTGGTTTTATAGTGCTAGCCCACTGAGATACCATGCCGCAGTTAAGCATGAATACCCCACTCAGACACAGTATACTGACTCCGAGCCGACCAGTCCTTGTACCCATTAATGCCGAGCGCCAGGCAGGGACCAACAAGTACCATATTTTAACGTATTTTGGTATGATGCGGTCGGGGATCAAACTCGCGACCTTCCGCTCTCCGGGCGGACGCTCTAACCACTACACCACGGAGGCGGTAGATGCAGAAGTAGATCCATGTATGTAGTTAAGGTTTTATTAGTGATGCCAACAAGTATATTTGGAAATATGTGGGAAATAATGTTTTGTAACCGTAATGCAGATTATTAATATAGTTGAGAGATTTCATACTGAATCAGTTTTGATACAAAAGCACTCAACACGCATTTAAAGAGAAAAACGAAACCAACTGAGATATGAGATAATTATTGTTGTTTTATATATTTGATAAAAGACAAGTTATGATGCCGTCCCTCTTTGGGCGGGGAAATGTCAGTTTCTAAAGCTAGGTATATTTTGAAATGTTTAAATTTATTAGACGTGTTCATTTAACTAATGACTAGACACTCTTCTTCCTTACAGACTGGGGGCGGTGGGTAGCCTAATGATTAACGCGTTCGCTCGTCACGCCAATGGCCCGGGTTCTGTTCCCCACATGGGTACAATGTGTGAATACATTTCTGGTGTCCCCCGCCGTGATATTGCTGGAATATTGCTAAAAGCGGCGTAAAACAGCACTCACTCTCGCTCCTTGAACACTTATACGGTTTAGAGACTTGATCTGATGAAGTGGCTATATTCGTGGTTAAAATGAGTAAAAATGATTATTTCTCGAACTTCAAAAGATAACCAAACTGTGAAACAAACTCTTCGGGCAAACACTTGCTCATGTTCAAAATATGAAACCACCCCTCCTTGAAACTTCTCAACACATTTGTTCTTTGTATGCATGCTTAAGTAGTGTCGAGCATAGGTCCATACTTTCCATTCTAATGAACTCTTCGCGATTTCTGAAAGTTAGTTTGGTAAATTTAGCCGAAACCGTCTCGTGACACTGTTTCGGCCATTACCTTGGGTGGCTTGTTATGACAAAGCGGAATAGAAAGAAGTAATTGGCTAAATCCGTTCACACAGTATTGTCTATAACAAATAACGCTGTGTCACCCTGATGCCTGGTAACGATGTATTAGCCCCGTTAAGTCTACTACTGCTACACCATGAACGGGAAAGGTAACTGCTCTAAACTGACTTATTTCCGCAGTGACTGATCTTTATCGCAAAATGGTATACGCGTGAGAAAGTGTCTCAGTCTGTATTAACGTGCGGAAATGACCCTAAGTATATTCAGGTGTTTGGCTTAGTTAGATCACTTCAGAATGCTACACTGATTCCGACACTAGAGGATGTATTATTCCTCGGTATATATTGAATTCTAACGTAATGAAGTTATCACCCATACCTTATGTCTGCTATATTATATAAATGAAAGTACTGGTAGAAGGATACATTCTGTGTATTTAAATGTTTTATATTTTGTGATACCTATTTTTGTAAGAAATGTGGATTTTAAAACAACTGGTATTTGACGCATCTTGCATATCTCTACATGACCATGAAAGATGTGCTCAAATGAAAGACTTGCCTGTGAGGTCAGCCTTGAGAAAATACAGTTTTCAAATTCAAAATATAAACCAGGAAAAAGACTAAACACTGTTTAGAATCATTCCAATACAAAACTGTACGTTTTAACAATTGTTTCCTGTTTCTACATTGAAATACAGAAACCGAAATCCATTGTTTAATTACATGTTCTGTATCTGTTTAATACCTGTTTGTGTTCCCTATCAATTGCATCCGCCTTTTTTCATCATATAATGATAATAAATAACACATAATAAGAGTGGGTATTTATAGCGTTAACTGAGCCTGTATCTGTGCATTCAATGCTCGCTCAAGGCGCTACAAAAAGGGTAAACCCATGTACATTGTATGCAGGAGATTACAAACGCATGTAGTTGGAGTATAAAAGGAAGAAAAGATCTAAGAGAAAGCTATGGAGAAGTAATGGGTTTTAGAAGGGACTTGAAAGTGTTCAGTGATTCGGCACATTTGACATCAGCTGGCAGTGAATTCCAAAGCAATGCTGCAGTGTGTTGACCATAGGAGACAAGTCTGACTTTAGGACTGTAAGTAAGTGCTGATTTTGGCATCTTAGACATCTTGAGCAGGGGTGTATATAGTGTGAGAAGTTAAGATAGATACTCTGGAGCTTCACTGTGGAAACATTTATATACAAGGCACAGGATTTTGAAGTTCACACGGTACTTAACATGGAGCCAATGTAGGAAACTGAGAGATGGAGTGATGTGATCTCGCTTAGATATCAGGCATACAATACGGGCAACAGTGTTTTGAATTGTTTAGACAGACAGCGATATGTACAAATATTATGAACACGTAAAACATATATGTGTACACAAGCCATTCTTGCAGAATTATGAGACTATGTTATATACATTTAAAACAATACCTTTCTTCACATGAACGTAAATATATATATGTTTAAAATATGCACGTATATAAACACGAAATATATATTCACAGGGTATATACAATTATGTGAACCGGTAGCGATCCGTCCAATATAGCACTGTGTTCTTGTCTAATGATCTGTAGTAGCCTAGCCGTTTATGAACAATGAAATCAGTGTATGTAAATGTTTCTATAGCTGTTATTGAAGTCCAAGATATTTAAACATACAGACCACATGGTGAAGACAGTTCCCCCGTGACATGTTCACATAGATCTCTGTCCTCAGTAGCAACGTTTTGGCAATGTAATCCAATGTTTCCTGGGGGAGTGTTTTATATATATTATCTCATATTAGATATATGTTATGCATTTAATCTCTACCAGCTGCGATCTTTTGAATTTATTTCATGTTTATCACAGTTCTATCTGAGTAATGAGGTTATTGATCTTTTAATACATTGTTTTGTTTCTTGTTCGCACTTTTATTTGAGAAGTCAGTTGCCTTGACTATCTGTCGTCAACCTCACTCAGAAGTTTACAGACTGCTTGCAAACGTAAGAAACAATTCAAACATCCTCATTAACTGTAAGTTGTGGCTTTTGTACGGTACTTCCCTTCTTTGTTTGTGGGGGCGGTTGGTATAGCCTCGTGGTTAAAGCGTCCGCTCGCCACGCCGAAACCCGGTTCGAATCCCCACATGGGTACAATGTGTGAAGCCTATTTCTGGTGTCCCCCGCCGTGATGTTGCTGGAATAGTGCTAAATGCAGCGTTAAACCATACACATTCACTCTTTGTTTGTGGGGATACCACAGTACGCCCTTAACATGGTCGCTAGATCGATGCTGAGTGACGTGAAACATCTACATGATGAATAAGGTCTATAAATGGCATTGTGTGTTAATGTTATTGTACGCCGCAGTCCATTAGAATTTGCTGGCTTTAACAGCCATACGGTTCTAGGTGAGTGAGCTGATGAAATTCAGGAGGAAGCATAGAAGCATTAAATATGAAGAAGAAGAAGAAGAAAATAGATCATTAATGTGTCACGTGGTATACAGCTGACATATTAAAATCACATAAAATTCACAATATAAAATGTAGACCACTCGGCCCTACGGCCTATGAGACACGATAACAGCTTTAAATCCAAATACAAATGTGAAAATTATTGAGACAAGCCTAAAACGTTTATGTATTAATATACATTATGATAATTATTGACTGGGTCTAAGACGCGTGTTCGTCTATTATGCATTTGTTGATATTAATGCGGCAAGAGGCTTAACAAATCTTTCATTACGTAATAAGAAAATAGACTGAATATAGAATATGCATGCACCCTATCCCATTGTTCACGAGGTACAAAACCCATTATTGCTGATGCAATCTAGACATTATTGTACAATGAGAACGCAAATGTCATGTTGACATTTTCTATCTCGAACTGGTTTTCAAAGAGGGATCGATCTACATAGAGGATTTGTTTTATTTCTTTATCAAACAACGTCCAAATCTCAACCAATAAAGTTTTTATTAAGGACAATTTTCAAAATTAAAATTATTTGTTTTTACATCTCTCAACAATCTCACTCTGATTTGACATCTCTCAACAATCTCTCTCTGACAACCATCGTGTCGCAGACTCATATTAGTTCCCATGTGAAGTGATTTCTCACAGAGATTTTATCTTTTCAGCTCAATAAAGTACATATGTGTATCATTACAGTTTAGATAAACATGTTTTCTCTTCATCTTCACGACAGGTAATAAAATATTGGAAAAATAAAGCGATGGTAGACATCGTGTTTGTATTGTACAGAATTTGCACATCCTGAGAAAGAATTTGTACCTCATTCTCTTTCTCGATCAGGACATGCACCAATTCAGACATTCGTTTCGTAAAACCAGTTTGTCGCGCACTTATGTTATATTATGTATATATCACGTCAGTTGCTGGTTGTTAGCATTCGACGCTACTGAACTGGTGGTGGATGGAATGACCAGCGACTCTCAGTGATAACTCCTAGAATCCCACTCACTCACCCAAGGGACGAGTTCTACAAGGTATATACAAGGTATACCCCAAAGTTGCATATCACTAGACATAGTGATATATAAAACCATGACACGTCCAATATCACCTGCTTCAATATTTTAATACTACGTGACTTTCGTTTTTTTTCTAGTTTTTTTCCCCTTAATTGGAAATAAATATGCCTTTGGTAGATTTGAGAGTAAACTTTGAACAAAATCGAAAGTTAACACGCAGTTGTACCATCATTCTCACACCGCGGGAGCGGCAAGCGATAGGTGCCAAAGATTGGAACTCTGGAACCATCACTCAAACAGGTGCCCGCTGCATCCGCGCTAGAATTTAGTTCCCCTTTCGTTATGGAATTGTTTCGCTGAACCATTGTTTATTAATGACAGGCATTGTGTTCATTAGAAAACTTAGAGAAATATTTTACGAAATGCTATTTTAGAGAATTATCAACGTGTACAATATCTATGGCAACGGTTTCCGTTTCACGGAAGTGTTTGTTTCTTCCGAGTAGTGATATCAAGAACTTCCTGGGAACTACTTACCATACTAAACTTTTCAATTCTTCGCGAAAGTCATATAATAGTTACATCGAAAAGTTTAAATGACTTCTGAACATGTTTCAAGATACAAGGCCTAAGGAACCCTGAACAAAACATGTACATTTTGTGTGTGCTTCTTGTCCACGCGGGTTTAATTGCCTCTGGTAAGGAGTGATTACTGCTGTCAAAACAAGGCCTCGCTTCACTGGCTGGGCTTTTGTTAGGCATTGTATCGATTGTTTGCCACCCATATAATGGGTTGTCGCGCTTGACACTTTCCGACCACGGTATTGATTGACTGTGATTAAGGGATCAGGGCGCTGAACGACAGGTGCTTGAGAAATCAACACCGTTTCGGTTGACACGACAGATCAGTTGCAGCTTAGAACAATACAGATGATTGTTTATTTCAGTGAAATATACAAGGGTTGTAGATTTCACGGGCTTGAAAACAGTTGACGTGAAAGTCGGTCATAATAAGTGATTCAGTCAGCTATTTTAAGACGATAATAAACAACTGAAACACAAATAGAGAAAGTTAGCTATCTGTCGCCTCCCCCATTATGAGAAACTACTCATTAGATATTATGTTTTAATTGACCATTGTTGATTGAGATTTTCTTCAGTCATATTACAACATTTACAGACTTGTGTGAACAGTTTGAAAGATATTGCTGACATTTGACTTTTATTAAATAAGATTTCCTTATTGATGTATTACATCTGTTAACATATTTATTTATTTTTTAAACTAAAGTTGTGAAGACAGTGAGCAGTTTAAAATTTATGTTTTAACTGTGTTTGGATGGTGTACACCATAACAACATTGACATAGAATTATGCAGAACACATTCCATTTGCAAGAAATCAAATAAGGGATATCATGAAATTCAAATCCAGCTGTATATGAGCATCAAGTATCAGCTGATATCACAGGTTTCATTTTCCATTATTAGGAACTGATTTATTAACATGTATAATATGATTGGATATGTAGGTATGAAAAATGATTTGACGTCTCAAGTTTGAATTTGTAGCAAAGGATATCAATTTCTAAATATAAATCAACACACCAAAATTCCATCTTCAAAAGAAATTGAGTAAGTAAATAAGTGAACATGAGAGGGACCATTTGAAACAAACTTAAACTGCTTGAAAAAATATGAATGCTGGCATTTTGTCAGTTCCAATTTCAAAACATTTAGCTTCTAAATAGATTGGAATAAACTATTAATAAATAATTTTAGATTAATCATTAACGACTTCCCATGTTTTTCCAACCAGAAGGAACGGATTGTTGCTTCATTTGATACCTCATACCATCTCTAAAGGTATCAAATAACCCCTCAAACCAAACAGTCCCAGGTCAAAAATGACTTCAGAAAATCTTGCCATGAAAACCAAACCTTCAGGGTTGGGCAAGTATCTAATAGATACATTCTGTAAGTACTCTTCTTGAGTTATAATGTGTATGATAATATTTTACCTGACTTGCTATCAGAGCAGTCATGTGTTATTATCACACTTATTTCAACAATATTTATGTCAGGTACTACCAGCATGTTAAGTTCCCAGTTTAAAGTTATAATTTACCTGTGAAAAGCCAGTAATTATCAGTAAATGGAAACGGTTCATGTCAGACATGACATTTTGCCCATAGTTTCCTTCTCAACTTCCCTATTCCTAAACCCTTTCAAGGCCATAAAGCTTTGTGTTAGCTATATCAGCCCATAAAGCTTTGTGTTAGCTATATCAGCCCATAAAGATGGGACATATTTTTTTATTGTTATTATAACTTTAAATCTTTTGTCCCTTGGAAAATACATGGTGTGATTTCTACTTCTCGACAACATGTAGAGCAGGCTGCTCATGACAACTGACTACATATTAACTGGTTGTACCTCATACAATACTGGAAAATTAAACATGTGCTTAGCCAAGATTTATGATTTGTAGTGTACAGAAACATTGTGTGAACATTTTGTTTCATTATGTTTAGATCTTGTGTACTTGGTATAGATAAAGCAAATAGTATTCATTAGCCTGATTCTGTTTGTGGAATATTTTACTTGGGTATAGATCTTATCAATTGGAAATCACACCCAGGTACTTTGCAGTGAATCAGTAACAGCTTGTTTTCAGATGAAGATATGTAATGTTTTATCTTTAGGTATTACAAGAAATTTATGCTTGTCCATTAGACTAATGCTTAGTCTCACAATGTAAATAATTTGACAGTTTTGAATAAACCCATTTAAATTGAAAAGGAGATTGAGGAAATCTAGACTTGCTTCATTCAGGACTTTAGCATTGCAGGGAGGGCTAGGCAGTAGGGAAAATAATGTGGTGAGACAGATTAGCTTATCATGTGAGACGCCAAATACTTGACAATACAGGGATAGTGATGAAAGCAAGACTGGAAGATGATAACTGCAAGAAAAAAGGTTCCGTCAGGGGTCTCCAGAAAGATGTCAAATGAGAAAACCAGAAACAAATGCTATTATTACTTTTTTTCATGATCAGAATCACCAGATGATTGTCTATTTTTTTGTAATATTGTGGAGGACAAGTTTTTTTAATTTGGTTCTTGTCTGATCAAATGACGCTGAAGATGTTTTCCCATCTCAAGGAGACAAACATCCTTCTCTGTGTCTGCGTATGTTTGTGTCAGCCAAGCAATGTCAATGTAACTTTGCAAAACCTCCAACTATCATCTATGACATTGTCATGTTCAATGTCAAGACCTTTTGTTCACTTGAGTGATGTTGAATTTCTTCTGAATGCCATGCAGATGCACTTTGACCTTCTCAGGTGAAAAATGTTTTATTTTCAGTCTAAAACTGCAGTTACCTGATAATAGACCCAATAAACTCTGTGGCTCTGTGTATGTGTCTAACGGGGGTGGACGCCATAGCACCCTCCTATATCTGTGTATGTGTCTAATGGGGGTGCACACCCTAGCACCCTTCTCTATCTGTGTATGTGTCTAATGGGGGTGCACACCCTAGCACCCTTCTATATCTGTGTATGTGTCTAATGGGGGTGCACACCCTAGCACCCTTCTCTATCTGTGTATGTGTCTAATGGGGGTGCACCCTAGCACCCTCCTATATCCTAATGGGGGTGCACACCCAGCACCCTCCTCTATCTGTGTATGTGTCTAATGGGGGTGCACACCCTAGCACCCTCCTATATCTGTGTATGTATGTCTAATGGGGGTGTGTCTAATGGGGGTGCACACCCTAGCACCCCTTCTCTATCTGTGTATGTGTCTAATGGGGTGCACCCCTAGCACCCTTCTATATCTGTGTATGTGTCTAATGTGTCTAATGGGGTGCACACCCTAGCACCCTCCTATATCTGTGTATGTGTCTAATGGGGTAGCACCCCTCTATCTGTGTATGTGTCTAATGGGGGTGCACACCCTAGCACTATCTGTGTATGTGTCTAATGTGCACACCCTAGCAATCTGTGTATGTGTCTAATGGGGTGCACACCCTAGCACCCTCCTATATCTGTGTATGTGTCTAATGGGGGTGCACACCCTAGCACCCTCCTATATCTGTGTATGTGTCTAATGGGGTGCACACCCTAGCACCCTCCTATATCTGTGTATGTGTCTAATGGGGGTGCACACCCTAGCACCCTTCTCTATCTGTGTATGTGTCTAATGGGGGTGCACACCCTAGCACCCTTCTATATCTGTGTATGTGTCTAATGGGGGTGCACACCCTAGCACCCTCCTATATCTGTGTATGTGTCTAATGGGGGTGCACACCCTAGCACCCTCCTATATCTGTGTATGTGTCTAATGGGGTGCACACCCTAGCACCCTCCTATATCTGTGTATGTGTCTAATGGGGGTGCACACCCTAGCACCCTTCTCTATCTGTGTATGTGTCTAATGGGGGTGCACACCCTAGCACCCTCCTATATCTGTGTGTGTGTGTCTCTAATGGGGTGCACACCCTAGCACCCTCCTATATCTGTGTATGTGTCTAATGGGGGTGCACACCCTAGCACCCTTCTCTATCTGTGTATGTGTCTAATGGGGGTGCACACCCTAGCACCCTTCTCTATCTGTGTATGTGTCTAATGGGGGTGCACACCCTAGCACCCCCCTATCCTATATGGGGGTGCTGTGTATGTGTCTGTATCTGTGTATGTGTCTAATGGGGTGCACACCCTAGCACCCTCCTATATCTGTGTATGTGTCTAATGGGGGTGCACACCCTAGCACCCTTCTCTATCTGTGTATGTGTCTAATGGGGTGCACACCCTAGCACCCTTGTGGCCCTGTGTATGTGTCTAATGGGGTGGACACCCTAGCACCCTTCTATATCTGTGTATGTCTGTGATGGGGTGCACTCCTTAGCACCCTTCTACATCATTGTTGCTGACATAGTACCTGTGAATGTATATTTTCTGGTACATGGTATCAGAGTGGACAAACACTAATCATGTACTCAATGTTAAACCCAATTTCAACTTTGTGGATGAAAGAACTCAAACAATAAAAAAACAAAACAGAAAAATATCCTGTTTTAATGCATGTTACGGTAACTCCTATGTTTCAGTTCACATTTAGGTGAATTTTAAACCTTAATGGCTGATAGGCACTGCATTGGACAAAATTTAAATTTATGGTTTGATCAGTTCTGACAGTTTGTTTGGTTCAGTACCAAATAATTAACTTGGTACATCCTCCAGTACAAATGTTATGACTGACAGTCACTACAAGGGACAAATAGATATTAAATGTTTATCAATTCTGGCAGCAATATGTAACATAAGACTGTTAATCTGAAGTCATAATAAATCTGTACACACTTTGTGTCACCAGGAAAGAATTAAGTGGTAAAGATATCAAATACTGTGATTATTACCTGGATTCATTTATTAATTTTCCATGAGGAAGTTTACAACCAGTTGTATGAAATTCTCTGGAAAACCAAAGTTGTCACTACCAGCTGTTGCCAGAATCATGACTGATCATGTGACAGAAGTGTGTGACGGAAGTGTGTTTGGTGATGTGGAGATATATCTGTGCATGTCGACTGTTGCAGGTCGTGGCATCACGTGGTACAGAGGCTGCTACAATGACATGAGCAATCAGATTGGACAAGATGGTGTCAACGTGCTGTCTGAAGATTCACCTCTTGTTGGATGTGCAAAACTCTGTGCGAAACAAAGGTAGGTAAATGTTGTGGGATTGGAATATCAGTGTGGGATTGTGTTTAGTCCAAGTGAGTGAGTGAGTTTAGTTTTATGCTGCACTTAACAATATTCCAGCTATATGGAGGTGGTCTGTAAATAATTGAGTCTGGACCAGACAATCCAGTGATCAACATCATGAGCATCGTTCTACTGAAGACCAGTTCTAACCCGGATCTTCACGAAAGTCATGTGAAGTCAAGAGTTTGAAAGGGTGTCAGTGAGCTTGAGGTTGGAGTACATCTGTGCAAACCCATGGTAGAGTGTGTCATCAGCAGCCCCACTCTATTGCTTGTCTGAGAGGGTATCCTTGGGGTATCCTTCTAGAATCCTATATGTTTTAAATGGTAAGAATGTTTGAAGTTGTTATTGAGCAACAACTAAGTTATGAATATATACCGAAAATACCTCTTGTACTTTAGTTGTAAATGTAGTGGCCATAAAGTTCCCCATGCTGGTATTCAAACCACGGATGTTTTGATCCAAAGAGGTTAACCCCGTCACCAAGCTGACATGGTAAAGATGTCATCTGTTGTATGACCCTACGCCCTGCTACATAAAGAAAAATTACTTACTGTAAAATGGAAAACAGTTAAGGCAAGGGTTCTGTGTGACCTGGAACTTGTCTGATTAGTGATACACTGATGGACATTTGTCCTGAAATCAATTTACAACTCACTCCAGCTAGCAAGTTCGTGCTATATTGCAACACTGCTAAGTTCTGAATCATTTCATACTTTATGCCATATTAAACTTGTCCCATGATATACATTAATTATCTCTTAAATCTGATTATTGCTTTGAAACAATACTACCTTGTGTTAAGAGGTCACCTTCATAACAGACTGTGTCAGGTTCTCCCTGAGCAAACTTCTGAAACAATTCAGCTTCATTTCATTTGCATCTCGATTTCAATATTTTATAAGTACAAATTAAGACACACAGAGAACAAAAACATGTGCTGTGTGCATGTCTTTGTGCAAAGAGGTATTAATGAGTGAGTGATTGAGTTTAGTTTTACGCCCCTTTTAGCAATATTCCAGGAATGTCATGGCAGGCAAGATGCTTGGAGTTTGTCAGTTTATTTTTACACTGGTTTTAGCAGTATCACGGCAAGGGGACACCAGAAATGGGCTTCAAACATTGTACCCATGTGGGGAATTGAACCCAGGCAGAGCTCCAGATAAGCCTTTGGTCATGTGGGTATGATACCCATACTTTTAAAACTAAGTGGGTATTTCCAATTTCAAGTGGGTATCTATACTTTTTGGTACCCACCATATTTCTAAGATCCGGGTATTCATTTCAAATAACAAGTGTAAGAGGTGTGCCTGACACACACTACAACATGACCTCATAAGACCTTTTTTATTCAAAATTAACTATGGATATTTTCTTTTCCACGTAGCAACTGGTGTTTTTTTTTTCAAAACCTTGTTCCCTTCGTGTTGTTTCACTTTTATGCCACTAATAGCTAATGTTACAAGTTCATTTAAGATATCACCGGCAATTAATTCTGATTGCGAAATAATATTAATTCATCCAGCAGTCCTCTAATGAAGTTGTTTTCTGTTTGCAGCGTAAAAATACCTAGATATTTTACTTTGAGCATGTGGAAGCTTTCGACCATACTTGCTTTGTTTACAGGACATGTACACAGGAAACAGCTATTTGAATGGTCGCTATTTATAGATTGACCAAGCAGTAAAGGGTTAACAAACCATGACTGGTATTCTATCTGCATTTCGCATCTTAATTGCGTTTAGAATTATTCAAGAATATTTTAATCGCTAATATTTGGAGATTGTTTCGATTGGCTTGAATTGATACGATACCAACATAATTTTGATGTATTGGGTAAATACGCATTCTTATTTTGACATAGCGTAAACGTACATATTTAATGTTTTTTCATACGCTGGCATTTATTTTTCTTGCGTATTTCAACATTTCTATTGCATATTATACGCAAATACGCAGCTTATCTGGATCTCTGGGGCCAGGTCTTCGGTGTGCCGAGTGAACACTTTAACCACTAGGCTACCCCACCGCCCAAAAAGTTATTAGAATAAACAACCTCTGTTCTAGGAGATTGTGATACAGATGAAATAATGGTTGTAAGCCCTAGTCATTCTCTCACACACTGGGATCTTCAGCAACCCGTGTATGTGTACGTCGATCGGGTGGTCAGGCTCGCTGACCTGGTTGATGCAAGTTATCGTATCCCATTTGTGTAAACATGATGTCAATTGCTGCTTTGTCTAGACCAGATTAAAATATTTATAGTTTGAATATTTCTACGTGTAGTGTTCAGTAAAAAAACAACAACCCAAAACTCTAATTTTTAATGTGTATTGAGAAATTAACATGAAAGAAGAAAGTTTGTAGAACTGAGCGACTGAGTGAGTATGGTTTTATGCCTCTTTTAGCAATATTCCAGCAATATCATGGTGGGGGACACCAGAAATGGGTTTGAGACATTGTACCCATTTGGGGAATCAAACCTGGGTCTTCAGCGTGACGAGCAGATGCTTTAACCACTAGGCTACCCCACTGCCCCTGAAAGGTGTTATGCCAGATGAGTGTAAGGGACTGTTCATAATTTATGGCTTGAGGGGATGATGATGAGTTGTATGGAGAAGCATGTACAATGTGAATGCCCCACCCCCTAACATTTATGTACAAAGTTAGTGGCCCCCCTGCATGTCATGTACAAAATTAATGACACCCCCTTCCCATAATTTCTAAGCATATTTTTTAAATATTCTAATTTTCAAAATTGTTGCCCCAACCCCCCAAACAAACACACACTTCCCCAGAACAAAATGGGTGACCCCCTAAAATCATCATCATCACCCCGAGCCATAAATTATGTACGGTCCCTAAAGGATGAAAGGGTGTGTGTGTGTGTGTGTGTGTGTGTGTGTGTGTGTGTAGTGTGTGTGTGTGTGTGTGTGGCAGAGGAGTGCTGTTGAATGTACCTGTTGACAGATGGAGATACCTGGCCTTCACCTGTCTTAATGATAATCTTTTGGGGACGACATTGATACTACATTCACATCAAGTCAGGCATAAATGAATACCTTCATGAATGTAACTTAGCTGCTGAATACTGAATATCTGTACACCATATAAATCATTGAGTCTTTCTGAAATTGGAAGGAAGAGTCATGATAGTACCGGTACAGTTTGATGAACTGTGACCAGGTACCCAATTGCCAAGGACAACTGAATATAATGTTACATTTGGGACTACACATTTTCAGATTCTACAGATTCTAGCACTTTTGTGAGGTTGAGACCCACCCGGGATTCAAACCCGAACTCCCAGAGTCCAAAACCTAATCATCAGCACAAAGTCAGCCATCTAAGCCACTCAGCCGTGGCTGAAGCAACTTCATATGTTACATTTGACCGCTTCCTAAATAGCATTGTGTACTAACTACTAGATCTGGTGAATAATACCCTGTATGATATGGTGAATAATACCCTGTATGATATGGTGAATAATACCCTGTATGATATGGTGAATAATACCCTGTATGATATGGTGAATAATACCCTGTATGATATGGTGAATAATACCCTGTATGATATGGTGAATAATACCCTGTATGATATTTTAAGACGATGAACTAAAGGATGAGTGTGCCATCAACATGTGAAACTTGGTTAATACTTTGACAGTAATTTCCTGTCATTGAGTGAGACATGTTAACCCTTTGCTAACCTCGTTACCTGTCTACTTTGATGTCTCTATTACCTGGTATCAGGTGACAGAAACTCGTTAGTGCAGGTAACCAGAGAGGGACTGGACAGACTTCCAGGTAAAGAGGTTTCTGTAGTGAAACTTGTCAGAAATGATGCATGATATGAAGAAATACAGAGACTGAGAGTTGAACTTGACCTTGTTGAATGCATAAAAGGGTGACTTCACGTGATTGAGTTAAAATTTAAATCGAGAGAGATTGATGCTTGTTGCGCAGGGTCAATATATCTAAGTATGTAGGCATCTGTTTAAAGCAAAGTACAGACTCGACAATGATAGCAATCATTCTTGCATGAAATTGCCATACCAAACAGAATAGTGTTTTCATTGATTCACTCGCAATCCAAAGTTACACAACGTACACGCAGAGAGAAAAACATACAGTGCAACCTGGGCCTTTTATGGCTGGTGATTACAAGGGAAAGAAATACTGTCACATTGTCACATTAATAAAGGGGAATGAAAACAATACTTGATTGTTCACTTGTTCGCCGGCATGTCACCGAAACAGCTGTGGGTGTAATGGCTTCAGGCGGCCAACCAGAACAACAGATAGGCTCGGTCTGGTCGTCGTTGTGGTTTGGATCAACTTACCTGTCTGTATTTAGACGTGCTGTGTCTTTTGTGGTTGATTGGCAGCTTTATCACCTAATCAAGGCTAACACTTGAGGTATACATTTCGGCTTCACTGAAAGTCAAGCCAGGAATGTTGTTGGCTTGTATTGTGTTGGTTTTGTTCTGCAGACAGATTGCTGTAATGGTAGGGGGAGTGGGAAAGGAAGTGTCTTGCTGCGGAACTTCAGGATTTAGAGAATCCAAAGCAAAGGATTTACAGATTAAGGGAATTAATTCTGAAAGCCAAGTCAAGGCTATGTTTCACACGGGACAGACAATCCATAGTTGATGTTATCTTGTCAGATATTACTGTTTGAAGCTGCAAGTAGGTTATTATGTATGACAGTCATTGTAATGTTTACTCTGAAAATTATATTAATCAGGACAAAATGATGATGATGATGATGGTGATGATAATAATGATGGTGATGGTGATGATGAGTCTTGTTCAACGCTGCACTCAGCAATGTTCTGTAAATAATCGAGTCAAGACAATCGGACAAGGCAGACCATGATAATGATGATGATTATGAAAAGGCCTGTGATGTGATGAACATTTTATGACACCATCAGATATATATTGCTATGCTTTGAT